TGGGGTTGACCAGTGCTTCCCCCTGCTCCCAGCTCCCATGTCATTGCCGAAAAGCTGGATGCTGTACAGACGGAGATCCAGAAGCTGAGCCAGGCCCTGCACACAGTGCTGGAGAGGCAATGCCGCCTGGAGCGCCAACAGGAGCACCAGCAGCGGCTCCAGCAGGAGGTGCTGATGACACTGCAGCAGCTCAGCTCCACCGTGAGCCACGGCACTGTGCCAGCGAACCAGCCCTGTGTCCCCTTCAGCAGTATGGCTGAGCCCTCGCCCACCGTGCCAAACTTCAGCCAGTTCAAGATGGAGCTCATCTGACCTCACACAATGCCCGTGTGCTCTAGCAGGGCTGCACTGATGGCAGGATGAAGCCGTGAAGAAGAACCACCTCTCAGAGGCTGTGGCAGCTGCCCAAGGATTATGTGGGGCACCCAGCAGAGGAGGTCACTGGTGCCTCATGTTTTCAGCCCTGCTGACTGAAAGGGGCTGCCTGGCACAAGAGACAGGGCAATGGAAAGCTGAGGCCTCACTTCTCCCATGCTGCCCATCCCAGCTGGCGCTGGAGCTGGCTGGTGGCCCAAGGACTTCAGCAGCACGGGCAGGCTGCCTGCAAGTAGAAGATGCAACTATGGGAGACACAGCAGGGAGGTGGGTCTCAAAGAAAATGCGAGGCTTCCTCTCACGAGGATCAGTGCCGTGACAATCAATCACAGAAATACTTCTTGCCCTCCCTCTGCAGAGCCTTGTTCAGTAAAAATCTATATACACCATGGTTCAGAAACAGTGTGGCATCTCTTTCGTCATTTTACCTCCCCCTCGCCCCATCAGTGAGCAGGCTGGATCTGTCTTCGGTGCTGCCACCATGCGCGGAGCTGCACAGGGTGCTCAAACCCGCGAGGTGAGACCACCACGCCACACACGAAGGATGCTACTGGAGGCCTGGCATCAGCTGCCACACTGTTAGGGATATATCACACTTGTGTAGGAAACAATCTTTTACTGAGCAGATTCCTCCTCGGTCACCCTCCTCACCCCAAATTCTCAGCAGATCTGGAGTCTGGCACTGCTCCTGCCCACTGTCTGGCCAGGATACGGGCAGGACCATACGAGTAAGAGTTGCACCTGGGCACGGGCTGGGTATTCATCTCTCCTCTAAACCCTTTTTCTGGGCAGAACGTCCTCCTGGTTGTGGTCTACAGCAGCAAGGGCTCTCCCTGGTGCAGGCTGCTGGTGGTGCAGAGCTGCTCAAGCAGAGAGTGGCAGGATGCTGAGAACCCCCTCGCCCGGGCAAGAAGGGCTCAAGGGAGGCTGATGGACTTTCACTGCATCAGTGGAGTCCAGAGGGACTAGAACCTGGACTTGCCTGCCAGGTGGAAAGGTCTGCCGGGGGTGGCTTGGTTCATCACCCAGCAGTGAATCTCGAGAGGAGACAGAGTATGTCCTTCCTCTGCATCAGCCAAGCAGGCTTCTTTCTTTCTGGTCACCACACTTAGCACAAACTTTGCCTAGAAGAAGAAGTCCCCAGCCTGTGTCTCTGAATTCCTTTAGTCTGAGGTAAAAATTTAGAAGTGTAAAAATAATTCAGGTATTTGTATACACACACACATATGTACATACACACAGAGCTGTATGCACACACACATATATATATATATATGTATATATACACCTGGGCATTTTGCAGGTCCTTGCAGCAACCCCGGTGGACAGGGGAGCTGGACAACCAGTCTGCCCCCCGCAGAGACACATGCCTAACCCCAGTGCTGTTAGACCCCGTCGCTGCAGCTGTGCCCGGGAGCATTAGAAGTCTTCTGCAATCTCCCCGCGGTCATTCATTTCAATGTTGGTGTAATTTGGGGGATGTCTGAAAAGCAACAGACAAAGAAAAATGCAAGATCAGTCGCTCTGCTCTTTTGCACAAGGCAGCTAACCTGCATCTCAGCTTTGCACTCAGAATGAAGAGGCTGGATGACCAGCCTGCAGCAGGCACAGAGTTTACTAAGGTCTCTGTTAATGTTTTGGGGAAAAGCAGGAGCAGAATGCCTGCCATCACCTGGCACAGGTACATCAACTTAAAACCACCCTGGTTTCTAAAAGAGAGTCCCTAAACCTGACTGTTGGTAGAACGCCAAACGACACGAGTTTGTTCAGGACCTGACTTACGGTATTTTTTAAATTCCTTTAAAAAATACACACTGAGTTTTCTATTCCCCAAATGTATTTTAAGAACTTTCCTCATTTCTAACACTTGCACATCAGCCCCCTCTCCAATGATGAAAGAAGATCAGTAAAAATTCATGGAAATAAATCCCCTGGGCTGGTTAAATAACACCTCCACTGTAATATTTATTTCAGACAAACATGCAGCCTGAGTGTTAAGCTGCTGTTTGCCTGCTGACAACGTTAGGGAACGCCAAGTAAGTATTTAAAGTGGTGTCATGTTATAATGTGGAAGCTGTTTCCCATCAAGGCAATCCTAAACTGTCTGTTGCTTCCACCCCACTCTAAGGAAGAGCTCTTCCCTGTGGCCAAAGCATCATCTCTCACTGCCCTGTGCGTGCCACGAGCCTTCAGCTTTCTGTGGTCCCACCACAGCATGTTGTAAGTAAGATTGATGGCCTTTACACTGTGCCTGCTGACATGCCTAGCATTACCCCTGGTTTTATTGGTGGGTACCTTAACCCCCTGCGGAAACTGCAGTCTGCCACATCAAAAGCAAAGGGGCTTTGCTGCAAAAATTAGGAGCGACATACTGAAGTGTTTGGATGCAGCATCTGAATGTAGGTGTTCACCCGAGTGAAGGAGCAGGTCCCTGCTCAGCAGTTAGAGAGTAAAGAGAGGGTGAGAGATGCAAGGCAGATGGGAAGGTGGTTTCTCACCTTTTGATGAAGTAAAATGCCAGGCTGACCAACAAGAACATGAGCAGAAGAGATCCCACGACAAACAGGGCAACTTCCCAGCCCCGGAAGGAAGCTGAGGGTGCAAAGGTAGAGACAGAACATTGTAGCCATGACCTTTCCCAGCACAGGGTGCCACCAGGAGGTCACAGAATCAGAGAGCCACAGAATGGGTTGGGTTTTGGGTTGGGTTGGGTTGGGTTGGAAGGGACCTTTAAAGATCATCTAGTCCAACCCCCTGCCATGGGCAGGGACACCTTTCACTAGGTGAGTTTGCTCAAAGCCCCGTCCAACCTGACCTTGAACACTTCCAATGATGGGGCATCCACAACTTCTCTGGGCAACAACAGATCGGGCTGTCCCAGCCTCCTGATCTGGAGAGCCACTCTTCTACCTCTCCTGGTTGCACCCCCCACAGTGTGCCGGCTCTGGCTGGCTCCAGCCTGGGTGCTGCTCTGAGCAATTGGGCTTCTGGGCTGTGTGTCCAACAGCTCCAAAAGCAAGGGGGTTCCCAGTGAAGCTCCGTCTCACGAGAAGATTTAGACACCCAAACTTCCAGTGTTATTGGCATGATAGGGCTGACTACCCCATCACACCGGAGGAACGGACCGTCGTTACCTCTCTCGTGATGACCCAACAGTTTCTAGAAGGCAGCTGTGTTTGGAAGCATCACCAGAGGTCCCTGGTGGCTTGCCCTGCATTGCCCCTGTCATGTGGAGACGTGGTCTGACCCTGGCCCCAGCCCCGCTCGCTGTGCTGGAAGCAGATCACTGTGCTTAGCTTTGCCTCCTACTCACCACCGCTGTGCGACACGGATGGTGCATTTTTTGGGGTGACGCACTCAGGACTGGTTTTCAGCACTCTCCCATCCACAGAGAAGGGGTGGGAGCTGGCCAGGAAGCCCTGGCGCCAGGTCTCAATGGACTGCTGCTGCTCCAGCTGCCGAGCCCACATCTGGCCCCAGACCTTCACCAGGGAGCCCAGGCACATCAGGTTCAGCTCTGCAGAGAAAAAACAGCTGGTCTTGGATGGTCGGAAACCCTCCGGCTGTTCCGGAACGCATCGCTCCCATGACTTCATGCCCTGCTCCAGTAATACCCTCCTGCTCCCATGCTGTTCACCCTCTTCTTGCCACCTCTCTGAAATCACACCGCCGTGCTGTATTGCAGGTAACGAGCACACGCTCAACCTTTCTTTTGGTGACAAAAGGGACTTGGAGTCGTCCTCCCAACCCAGCAGAATACTTTGTACTACACTTCGTAACTTCATGATCTCTACCCGTTGGTAAGAACTGTCTGAAATTGTTCAAAGGGTCAAGTGTGTTCGGGTGAGGGAGACAAAGCATGACTGCGAAGCTTTCATTTCCTTACAAAACCAGCCAAAAAAATAGGAAACATTTCTTCCCATCCCTCAAAAGCTGTAGGTCCCTAAGACTTCCAGAAGTGACTAAAAAGTCCAGGTACTTTGAATAAGTATAGGACATTGAAGGAGACTGATAGAGAAAGAGTAGAGAACCAGAGTCCTTTAGAGTGCAAACGGCTTTTTGCTTTGCGGGTTTAGGATATTCAGTTTGTCTGGCAGACATCTTGAGGCATCATCAGAGACTCCTGTTCCTCACGGCCCCTCTAGCTTGCCCTTCCTCTAGTAACGAGCCCACGTGAGGCTCTCTCCTGCTCTCCTCGCTGAAATCCCACTGCTCCTCCAGTTCCCCTCACTCGAGTGCAAACCTGCAAGTTTGGCTTGAGAAGGGACCGTCCTGATGATGAGCAGCTGTGGACGGGCGAGGGAGGAGGGCACTGCAAAATGGGCGAGCGCAGCGGGGCACCAACCTTGCAGGTAGAGCTCAGAGACGCCGCAGGAGCACTTCTCCTCTAGGGAGCTCACCAAGGCCCTTCCCAAACTTTCCAGCATCTTCTTGTGGTGCAGGGTCCACGTGGAACAGTCTAGAGGAAAAGGAGACTTGGTTTTCTGTGTGCAGTTCGGGGTTGTTAATAAGCTCCCAGCTGCACGCGTCTTCCGAAACACTTGGCTTCATGCCTGAGCTCAGGAGCAAAGCTCCTCCAGAGCCTGCATCCCACCCTCCTCTGCATCCCGCCCTCCTCTGCCCCTCTCCTGCAGGGTGAGTCTTCACTTCTGCCCTTCTACGACCACGTATGCCAGCTTCACTCCTTCACCAACCTCCCAGGGGAGTGGGGAAGAGGCATGTCCCACATGTCCCTCCACACGGGCCAGTACAGAGTGGTCTCTCATGCTGGGAGAGGAGGGAGGGGTCCTGCCTGCCCCTCTCAGGAGGCTGGAGGAGGAGGAGAAACCTCCATTTCATTTTACCCAGATTTTGACTGCCCCAAGCTGATCCAAGCATGGCCCTTGCAGGGACTGGAGACCCCACTGCACTTTTGCTCCAGAGTCAGGACTGAGCCACACCGCTTTGTTCCCGTGGATGGGCTGAGACAGGAGGGTTTGCTGGCAGTTTCCCTGACCGTGCCCCTGCCATCATGAGAGATCTGGGGGGGGGCTTTCCTGCCATTGCTGCAAATCTAACGCTGTAGAAAGAAATCCCAAGAGCGGGGCTCGGCCCTGCCTGAGCAGGGAGGTCTCAAATGAAGTACGTGGCCACCTTCATACAAGCACACGCTGAAGCTGTGAGCGAGGTTGCCCTCTTGGGATGGCGGCATCACATCAATACATGAGTGTCTGTACCACCTCTCCCCCAGCACGTCCCCTTTCACGGCTGGGAGGCAGCAGGGTCCCCGACAGCATCCCCCTCCCATGCCATGGGAAGTTGGGGGTCAGCCTCCCGTCCCCCCCAGCCCAGCCCTCCCACCCTGCACCAGTGGGGGCACCCAGCTCCACTCACTGGGTGTCAGGAGGCAGAGGTGGAAATCCACCGCGAAGGCGTCCTGGGGACAGCTGTTCTGCAGACCAGGGGTAGGGTCCGAAATGGCAAACTGCAGCTCTGTGCTGGCATTGCCGCAGGAACAACGGCTCAGGGACACGGGCCTGTCCCCAGAAGAGGAGTCAGAGCTCATCAACACATCACACACCTTTCTTCCCACCTCCAATCACAAAACCCTCCCGGGCCCCAGTTCCTGATGCCCCTGGGGACGATGGAGAGTTTGCTGGAGCTGGAGCTGAAATCAGCTTTCACAGAGCCATCAGAGATGGGTCCAGCCAACCCCACCAGTTGGAGAAGACCTGGGCTTGGCCAGAGCAAACCTATTTGGTCTGACTGTCTTCTGTAGGAGTAAGATTGATGCCTCATTACAGCCAGTGTCCCAAAATTAAGAGTTTGTCCTCCAGGATAAGGAGTTTTCCAAGCTACACAATATCTGCCTCTGCATTTCACTAAGCTATTGCTTCCCTCCCCACACCAGGACTTAGAAACTTGGTCACGGTGTGAGGAACCAGCTTTTCTGCATGCGGTCGTTCAGGGCTGGACTGATAGAGGCTGCCTGGAGTCAGCCCACGTGAGCTCTCCCACCAAAATGCTGCCCTGATCTTGTGAATAACCACCCCAGTGAGGTTTCAGCACAATGTTTCAGCCAGCCAGAAGCCGGAGATCTCCGTTTCCCGGGAAAACCATGCACGTGGGGCTGCGCTCTGTGCACACATGCTCATAGGGGAGGCTACAAACGCAGAACCTCCTGTCACACCAGATGGGACAGGGGAGCAGAGGACTTGAGGAGGACAGATTTAATTAACAGAGGTGATCATGTGGACAGGAAGAACTCTGCTAGTATTCCCACCAAGAGAAAGGCTCAGCCCCATTTGTTGTTGAGTCTACATAGGAGCAAAAGGGATGTCGGGTTTTGTTTTGTTCTGCTGCTCACGGGGATATCCTTTTTTGTTTGGTTTGTTGTTTGGGTTTTTTTTTTAAAGAAAAAGTTTGGCAAATAAGCATATACAGCTGCTATCTGCAAAGGCTGCATTCCTTCATGTGATGCCATACATATCCTTGGGGGAAGCAAGTTAAGTGAGCAGTGGAGGAACAAAGTTCAATTCCCTATGCCAAGGGCAGGCAAACATTTTCCGTTGCAATGTGCAAACTCTCTGTTTTTCATCACAGTGCCGGTGAATGCATTCAGCCGTACAGGAGGCAGGACAAGGCAGCAAGTTCAGCGACATTGCAGCTGGAGGGTCTGGGTGCGGGGAACCCAAAGACATTTTCCCAGAGAAGCGACCTCACCTGCCGTCATTGCAGGGCACAGCGTAAGGTGGTCCAAGGAAGTCCAGGTGTCCTCGAGCTGTGCTGGGCTCACACGTGTAAACCAAGGCATCCACCAAGTTCTCTGATGTTGCCTTTGTGCCACCAGGAATCAAGCTGGTGCTATAGACAGCAATAGCACTGGAGCCTTCACTAGCAGCAGAGATGCCCTTGAAAGTCAGGTTTGTGCCATCTGGAAATGCCAGGGGAATAAGTGGGGTGAACATCTAGATAGTGTTAGGCTGAGCCTTGAGCCTGACAGTACAAGCTGGTAACAAGGAGAACTCCAAGAACAGAAACGGAAGACAAAATAATGGTGGTGACTGAGGCCAAGTAAAGCTGTTAAAGAAGCAACTGCTTGCTGGGAACACAGGTTTCCAAAAAGATCAAGGTTCCTCTGAGATGCAGAGTCCTCTTCATGCAGCCCAGCCAGAATTTAAGGTGAACAAAAAATAAATCAAGACAAACGAATGTGCTGAGGAAACACCACCTCAGGACCAGGAGAAGGCAGCAGCACTGCAGGGCTCAGTGAGCATCAGTGAACATGGCATCAGTGAACGACCCAACAGTCCTGGTGGACCCTGCTTCTCCTGAAAGCCCCCTTGTCTTGGTACTGGCAGTTTTCAGTCCTCCCGGTCCCTCTGCCCTGCACGGGGAGCTCAGCAGAGGCGTGGAGGAGGATTAAGCACCTTCTCAGCTGGAGTGTGACAGAACAGCCCAGGCAGAACAAAGAGAGAAAAAACAGGAATAAAGGACAGGAAAGGCAAGGAAGAGAAGAGTTGTTCCCCATGCCATGCTCCCTCCTCCATCCCTTTCCTCAAAGCCACTCAACCACCTGCCCATTTGTTTCAAGACAGACCCACACGCCAGGTCCGTGCCATCAGCCTCACCGTGCCCGTGCCCTCCATCCAGCGCAAACATGAAGAGGCCCGTGACTCCGATGGTGCCCCTCAGTGGGACACTGGCATGCGCCTTGCCCTCCTTCCCCAAGAAGACCAGACTGAGCCCTCTCAGGCTGGTGCCTGGCTTCCCCTCCAGCTCAACGAAGCGGAAGGGGGTAGTGCCACCAGCTAGGCACAGCTCACTGATGCGGATGGCAGGAGGGACCAGCGCCGAGGAGCCGCTGCAGAAGTTCTCCCTCAGCGGCGTCACTGTGGTCACCTGCAGGGAGACACAAAAGCGGCTGCCACCACTGCTGCTCCCATTTCTTCAGGTGGAGTGATGGCTGCTCATGGCGTTACCTCTTGTTTGTGCCTCCCATGGCTCCCTGGTGAGGCCCAAAGAGGACGTGGTGGTTCTGCCTCATACCAGCTGCTCCTTACTCCCACTGGCTGTTCAAGGGTTGTCCCGACGGCAGGGTCCCATCACCACACATCCCCATCACTGCCTTCAATCCCACCCTT